TAATAATAATAATAATAATATAATTCAGTGGATTTTCTCACATCTTTCTTCGATGTGCACTAGTGCTTCGCACAAAAAGACGCAGGGCTCGATTTTTCCGTCGTGTTTTCGTTTTGTAAGCTATTTTTCACGCAAGGTATTAAAAGCAGAGCGTTTGGATTCAGTGTAGATCATGAGAGGAGCGCAGCGCCTCGCAGACACATTAAGGCCGAATGAAGGCGATAAAAACACTTTTAATCGGGATTAAATTCTCATTCTGCTACGATGAGATTATTCAGGACTTTCTTTTCTTCAGAGCTGAACTGTGAGAGACTCAGTATCGACCTGAAAGCTGTTTCAGTCACATAAACAGGCTGTTTTTCTGATTTTCAGCTCATTTATGGGAGATAATAAACAGTTTGGGCGCCTCTGATCCAATAAGAGACACTTCTGCACATTTGAACACACAAACGCTGTTTTTTAAACATTTTACACATTAAAAATATAAAACATGAGGCTGACACAGTTTATATTTAATGTTTATTTGTTCTGAATGTAAAACTCAGCAAATAATAGAAACTGCAGTAAAATTAGCAGAAAAATCTCATATTTCAGTGTGTTGACTGTAGAGGATGTGTTACTTACTTTCACTGAGAAAATTAACAACACATAGAATTACAGTTCAAACTTTCACACACAGCTAAAATGTCTGATTATAATATTGACAATTATGTTATAATAATTCAAAAATGTATATAATTATTATAATTATCATTATTAGTAGTACAGATATAAATAATAATAATAATAATAATAATAATAATAATAATAATAATAATAATCATAATCATAATAATGTTATTGTTACTGTTGTTCTTGTTGTTGATGTGACATTTTTTTAACTGAAAACAATATTTGATTCCTAGAAATGTGAATAAATCATAAGACAATGCAGAGTCAGCGAGGAAGCAACGTCACTGGGGAAGAAACTGCTGGGAAGCCCCCACAGGAGCCCCCATCTCCACAGAAACTGCGCTGCTTCCAGGATATCCTGGACATCGTCTTCAGTCTGACTGATCAGTATGTTTCTTCTTTGGCTTTCAGTTTGATTCTCTGATAGTGAATTTGATTCTCTGTTAAAGATTCTTTAACACACTAATCGTGGAATAAATGTTTTGTAGGGAATGGAGGACTTTGAGCGAGGATGTGCCGCATGCAGTAAGTATCAAAACATAATGACTAACACATCTTTAAGAATGAGCTTTAGTCAGTTTTAGTTGGTGAGACGCTGAGAGAAATGAAAAATCCTGAAACATCACTGATTATTTACTGATGTGTTTCGTAAACAGGGAACAAAACTGCAGTTTGCATCACTCTGCACAAAGATCATCATCTCCGTCTCCAAATCAGCAGTGCAGAGTTACCTGCCTTCTCTTCTGCGTGTGGTTGGGATGGAAGCCGTTCTCATGGCAGAAGAAAAGCTGAGGAAGAAAGCTGAATATGCTTCCATCAATCCATCTGGCAGCAGCACTGCAGAAGAAAACTCAGACAAAAGGTGAGACCAAAAAGCCCAAGAAGTCAACTTCTCATCTTCACTCAGCCCCTTTACACTGACTGACCACTCAAGGCTTGATGGCTATCACTGATTTCTACAATTGTTCTCTAATCTGACTCTAAAACAAAAGAATGACTAAATGAATAACCTGATAATCAGCTGTATTAGAAAAAAAGCTGTGGAAGATATAATTCCTTAGTGCCAAAGCATTTAGGCTAAAATTCAAAATCACAATGTGGAGTTTTATATTTTTCTGATTAACTTTGGTACCAGTTGTTTTGGAAAGCATATTAAAAACCACACGAATGTATTATGTCATGTTATATATTCATACCTGAACACAGCTACTGAAAAGAACTTATAAATTTATACATACTCTTATAAAAGATGGTTCTTTAGTGGTTCTTTAGTAGTTACAGTTGTTTGATAGTACCTTGACCACTCAAACAACCATTTGCATGCTTAAAGGGTTCATTGCATTGTGAAATGGCTTGACATCATTACAACAGAACAACCCAGTTTGATAATAAAAATATTTCAATACTTCAGTCAATCTGATGAGCTATTTCACAAAACAAAGAACTGTTTAAGCATGCAAAAGATTCTTTGAGATGTCAGGGTTCTTTAGACAACCACTGTGTTCACTAAAGAACCTTTGAAGAACCCTCTTTTGTAAGAGTGTGAACTATAATCTGTGCCACTTGTCTCATTTCTCTTTAACAGCCCAATAAGAAGCAGCTACCAAAATGTAAAAGACATCAACTGTTGTGTTACGAATGAAAAAGAACATGATGTTAACGACTGTTTTCGTCGTGTGTTTGTCTCATTATCTTAAACTAGATCTCCAGTGGATCCATCTGATCTTATATGCCACATTGTTGAGGATTTTGTCAGTGAGGTGAAAATGGCGATGGAAGAATCAATCTGCAAGGTCGCCTCCTGTAAAGAATCCTCATGGTCCAAGGACTGGAAGACAACGTGCAGTCTAGTGGCTAAAGAAATGCTGAAAATTCTGGAAGGTAAAATGAGACGTTCTCAACTTAAGGACACAACAGATCTGAGAGAGGCACAAGACGAACCTGAATCAGACACTGAAGCTCTGACGGGTAAGATAATCGTGGTGGTGCTTGATGTCCTGGAGGGAAACAGCTCTGAGAGAACTGATCACAAAACCAGTGATCTGCTGAGGGCCACTGCTGAAAAGCTCATCCAGACTGCCTCGACCTTAGAAGTAGAGGAACCCATGTTTGTGGACTACGAGAAGCAAAAAGTTCACCTGCCACCTGAGGAGCTCCAGACAAAGGCCACCAGGGCTGTAAGTCAGCTACTTCTCAGTAATACTGGGATTTGGGACATGAGCAGCAGCTCCCCTGAGATGCCCAGCAGCCTCGCCAGTGAAACAGATCTGGACTCAATGTTAGAGGCAATGGCTCGCTCAGGGTTCCCAACTGATTTGATGCGAAGTCATCTGGATGCCACGTCTAGGGACATTGTTAACACGATTCAAGGCAATATAGACACATTCTCATCAACTAGTCCCTCTATGAAAATCAGGAAATTTCTTCGTCCTCTAAGCAGCGACACAGCTAAGGACTCTATTTTTCACAGAATTAATGAGAAGCTGATGATGTTCTTCAATGTGTTCAACCAATTTGTGAAGAAAAGAAGTACAGAGCTTCAACAAAACACTGTACCCTCATCAAATGCTTCACAGACCTCTCTAATAGATCATCTCACAGTCAGCTGCACAAATGATGTGATTGGTGGGATCACACGTCTTTATCATCAAGATGATTTAAGTTCTAATTCCCACAGATCTACAGGAGGTAAAACCTCACAACTGTCAATGGCATCCAAACTGAGAGTCCACAGAGTGACGCAGGAGCTAGAAAAAATGATCACTACTAGCAGATCTTCTTCCAAAAGGAGTTTGGAATGCACTGATTTAGAGGAGAGTAAAGACATCTCATCTCCTGAATCAGTGATTGTTGACAAAGAAGCTGGATCTTGTAGCTCTCCTTCACTACAACGTATTGAGAGTCTTTTCAATAGCGAGTTTCAGGAGAAGGCAACACAAGTTGTAAGTGATGCTCTCCTCAAAACATGTGCAAAAGTTTCAGTCACAGTGTCAGTTCACTCCAGCAAGGAAGAAAGCGATGGCGTCATATTAAAGGAGGTAGATATGCCTGAGAGCCAACCTGTCCAATCCTACTCATCATCAGTTCTTGTGGAATCAGCTGCATCAGACATTACAAACACCTTTTTGAATGGTTTACAGAAAATGTCCTCTGATCAGGTGGATCATGAAAGCATAACAGAACCAACTCCTTCACCAAAGACCTTCCGTTCTGCTGCTCGTAGACTCTATAAAAATGTGCAGTACAAGATTTTTGGATTTCTTTTGAGGCTCCAAGAATCACAGTCAGAAAAAGAGTCTCTCCTCACATCAACTGAGTTTGGAACCAACAATCAGAGACTGAAACCAGCAGAATCTTTGCACACAGATGACAGAAAAACACCTCCAAGAAACCAGGCTGATGTAGATTCTTGCACAGATGACATAATTTACAATGTCCTGGATTTGTACAAGAAAGAGGTACAGCTTGTTGAGTCCAGCTCATCTGAAGAGTGTAAAGTCATCAAGTCTGCAAGTCTCCGTTCAAGTGACCAGAATGATGAGGGAGTTTTAGAAAAGCAAAAAATCCATGAGTTTAGCAGCTCAGACGTCGTCCCAGTCTTCTACCAGCCTGAAGTAAACACGTCATCAGTCACGTCTGAAGGATTTCTAACTAAGGCCATTCAGGTGGTGAGTGACGTTCTGGTGAAAAGCGCATCACAGCAGGTTTCATTTTGTGCATCAACATCATCTAAATCTTCCTCCAGAGATTTACACAGTGCTGCTGTAGATGTTGCAGGAATCGTCATTGATGCTTTGGATAAACTCGTTGAGTCGAGTGTGATTACTAGCAAAAGTGACTCGGATACTATAATTAGGTCACTTGTTGCACTTCCAGTTGAGCCATCTACAAAAGTGCTAAGTACATCTGATGTTTCGGCGAGAGGGTCTCGTTCAGCCCCCTTGAATTTGTTTGAAAGGGTGCGAAGTTATCTTCAGGCGCTTTTCATGACTTGTTTTGAGAGCCAGACAATTTGCCCAACACAGGGTGATTTGCAGCTCTCTACAGTCCGCAGTGCTTCTCACATAGATGATCTCACTGTTACATCCACAAACAGCATTATTACTGAGGTTGTCCATCTTTATGACTCAGATGCATCCCCTGAGTGTCAAGCCCAAAAAGGAGATGAAGACTCAGTGAAAATATATGACATATTTCAGTGTTTGGGAGACATTGCCAGATCTAGCAGATCCTCATCAAAGTCTAGTGCATCGGGCAGTGATCTCAGAGAGTGTAAGAACAGGCCTTCCCCTGAACTTGACTCTGATTTTAAAGACACTGCACTTGATTGTAGGTCTTCACACCGTTCTGTTGAGAGCCTTTTCAGTGCTCAGTTCCAGAGCAAAGCAACACAGACTGTTGGTGAAATACTTCTAAAAAGTGTGGAAAGACTTTCTACCTCAGGTTTCACCCAGTCATTCCAGTCCTCCTCCAGCTCAACTGCTATTCAGCCGTCTGTTGCAGCCTCTTCCTTATCCATTCAAGCCCAGTCGACAGCTTCAGATATTATCAGAAGCTTTTTGAAATACTTGCAGAAGTGTTGTCTGTCTGTCCCATCAGATAGTGCTTCTAGTTCATCTACACCAACTTCTAAGAGAAAGGAAAGTGTACCCTCTGCTTCTCGCAGCATATATAGAGGTGTGCAGAAGAAAGTTTTTGGATTTCTACTGGGGCTCCAGACGTCATTTTCAGAAAGAAGCAAGATTTCCCCACAAGATCAGCCTACAGGAGGAGTAGAGCTGGAATCTGAGAGGGTTTTATCAGTCAGATCACCTCCTCATATAATATCAGCAAGAATCCAGAATAATTTAGACTCTTGTACAGATGAGGTTATTGGCAAAGTTGTGGAGTTATACAAGAGTGAGCTACTTCTGCCAAGCTCCTCTGAAGTTCCTCTCCACAGCTCAAAATCACTTCCAGAACAGCCTTTCAGACTGATAACTGTTAAGCCTAAGAGCTTCCTGACCGATGCAGTTAATAATCTTTTAATGGGTGCTGCTAGACAGAGAATCTCTCACAAATCCATCAGTACTGAAGAAAATGAAAAGACTTCAGAGAGAAGTCAAGCCACACCAACCACCTCCCACCACAGCATGTCTAAAACTTCTAGAAAAACTCCAAGCTCGTCAGCATTTACTGTGTCAGAGCGAACCACTGACCCTGAGTACGACGTGATTGAGAAGTCTGATTCTGCTGCTGAAACTGTAGCAGTGCCCCAGCCTCAGTCTCTCCAACAGACGAACCAACTGCAACATCCGATTTCTGATGAAACCATACGATGTCATGCAGATAGACTAACCAACTTTGAGGTTCTCAGACATATAAAAGGGCCATCACGTGTTTGGAAACGTTCCTCAGACTCTGTTCTAGATGCATCTTGGGTGAGGAAGAATCTGCTGAGGGATCCAGTCCAAGTACCTTCATCGCTAGTCTGCGTTTTTGTAGATGAATCAGTTAAGACCTTACTCCTACACTTGCTAAGTCTGAACTCAGCAAGTACAAGGGCAGGTTCTAAAGGCCAGGACAGACATTCAGACAAGTCAGCTGGCTCACAATGTGCCATCACTGGTGCAGAAAGCCGTTTGACTAAGGCGCTCACAGACTCACAGAGCAGAATAGAGGATCCTCTGTTATTGCTCGTGGATTCTGAGCAAACTAAACCTGAAAGGAGTCAGGACGTCTCTCCGTTGGATTTCAAGTCACCTGCTGTGTCACCCACAACCTCAAGCAGGGCTGGCAGTACGATGGCGAAAGAGACATTGGATAACCACATAATTTCTAGCAAGGATTATGAAACCTACTCTTCCAGCTCCAGCCCATTAAATGACCACCGTTCCTCGGATCCAAACCCTGTGGCTGTGAAAAAGAGCAGTCGAGGATTTCATTTCATTCTGTGTAAAAAAGCTCCCGTCTTCAGTCCTGGAGTAAAGGTAGTGGACTTTTTAATTATTAATAACTGGATGATCAGAAATCATACTAATCATATGAGTTGCTACATTATGAAGTATTGTGTTAAATATAAGACTGTGTGTTATTGTTGTTAATGTTGTTTTTTTCTGTTTTCTTTGTTAAATGTTTGATCATCTAGAAATCAAGTAAAGTTTGTCCTGCTGGCATGATGTCTGACCATCATCAGTCTACCTCGTCCTCTGGAAATCTTCAGAAGTGTAAGTACATGAAACAATACACACAGAGCCGTTAATTCACAGTGGACGTGCTCAGACCAGTGTTTCATAAGCTGAGCCTCACAGTGTTGCTCTTTTATTCTTCTATACGTAATGTAGAATATAATAGAATTAACTGGATGTTGACTGTTTTGTCATTTGCTGTTGTTCTGATTTCTCTTTTGCAGCTGAACAGAGAGAATCAGCCTTTAGGAAAACACGCAAACGTCTGTCCAGGATCTTCACAGCCATCCGCAAAGCACTGCCCAACCCCTTCCAGTGCATGACTCCACCATCTTAAGCACTTAGCACAGGAGTGCTCAATCCTGGTCCTGGAGATCTACCACCCTACAGAGTTTAGCTCCACCTTTAATCACACCTGATCCAGATAATGAAGACATTCAGGAGCACCTGAACATTAGAGGCAGGTGTGCTGGGTCTGAAATCTACAGGGTGATAGATCTCCAGAACCACAATTGAGCACCCTTGATTAAGCATGTGTCTTAATAAATGCGTTGCAGCAAAGCCATGTGTGTTTTTTCATTTGACACATTCTTCTTCTTCTTCTTCTTCTTCTTCTTATTATTATTATTATTATTAGTTTGGGTAATACATAGACAGATGTCCCATGTTGAAATCAGTCTATTTACACTGTCCAACAGGTTCTAGATGTTAAGTGGGAAATTACATGGTGCAAACTCCACAGTACTGTGCAATTATTCCAAATGTCATACACTCATATGATGTAGCTGTTTCTGCTGGGTCTTTACCTTTTACTCCAGAAAATCTTTGTATTTCATGCTGTTATTTTACACCATATTTGATGTTTACATATATCAGTACTTGGAGGTGTTTCAATTTTCCTTTTTATCTTAACCTCTTAAAATGCCAAATAGCCAATTTCACAAGGTTTTTATTTATCTTAATAATACTAATACTACCACTACTGACATTACTACTACTACTAATAATAATCTATAGTTGTATAGAACTTTTCTTGCTTCAGGCCATCTATAAAAAGGCGTCTCTTTTGAAGTTGCTTTATTTGCAATGGCACAATGTATAAGCAAGAGGGGACATGTGGCTAAATAAAGACAGAAAAACATGAATGTGGTTCAATAATCATTTACACTGTCTGGAATGAGTGGATTAGACACAGCAATGTCAGAACAATGGTTCTATATAGCACCAAAAAGGTTCTTCTATTGTTACAATTTCAAACAATGGAAAAACTCATTTTGTTGCAATATAGAACCATTTTCAAAACGTTTCTATATAGACCCATATATGACATGCGCTCCATCAATCTGAACCATTTCACTATGTTTATGTGTTCGTTATTCTATATAGGCCAGGAAAGTTTATTTATAAAGCACCTTTCATACACTGCTGTCATTCAAAGTGCTTTACAAATGAGAAAATACAGTCATTTAAAAAGTAAAGTAGAAGAGAATAGAAATTAAAAACATGAGTAAAAGATGTTTAAAACTATAGATATAAAAGTGAAAATTATTAAATAAAAATCAAATTAGAAATTAAACTGTGATTTTTAAAAATCTAATTAACATTGTAACAATTAGGTTAATAAAGTGCCGTTACAGAGGAGAGTGTCCAGAAATGCTAACAGTGTTTAAACTGAGATGAAATCCTGCTCAAATAGGACCGTTTTAAGCCTGGACAGTTGAACAGATATGTTTCAGTCTATTTTTAAAAACTCTTACAGTCTGAGCTCATCTCACATCTTCAGGAAGTTTATTCCAACTGACAGCAGCCTAATGGCTGAATGCTTCCTCACCATGTTCAATTCTGGTTCTAGGTACTGTCAGGTGGTCAGACTCCACTGATCTCCACTGTTTCTTTTAGGCCTATATTTTACCAGCATATCAGTGATGTAAGTAGGACCTTGTCCATGTAATGATTTATAAACAAAAAGCATTTTTTTTATCTATTCTGAGTACTGCAGTGATGAGGTCATATCTCTTTGTCTTTGTTAGCACTCTGACAGCAGCATTCTGAATGAGCTGCAGCTGCCTGACCGATTTTTAGAAAAGACCAGTAAGGAGGCCATTACAATAATCTAGGCTGTTGGAGATTAATACGTAGGTGATATAAAGAACCACTGTATTTACTAAAGAGCCCTTGAAGAACTGTTTTTTTAAGAGTGCAGACATAAATGTTAGAGAAAGAATAAGAAATAGTAAAACATAAAAAATCTCACTGACTGTATTTTGGCCCAACATCACCCTGATCTTCCTCAAAGTCACATCAACATCTTGAGTCAAGAAAAGAAATTCACTTCTTCCAGCACGTCTCACCAGAGTGCCTGGCAGTGATTGAACATTAGTTCAAGCCATATTCTGTGCAGTAATTTTATTAGATGAAATTATCTCACAATAATGTCAGATAATGTTGTTGGCTTTAAGAAATAATGCTTAAAACAAGCTCAATTTTCTGTTTATATAGTGAGATAATTTGGTGCGAAGTAGATTAGTAAGTAACCCTTATTAGTCCCACTAGTGGGAAATGTTACCTCCGCATTTAAACCATTCATGCAGTGAAACACCACATACACACTAGTGAAAACACTAGGGGCAGTGAGCACATTTGCCCAGAGCGGTGGGCAGCCCTATTTGCAGCATCCGGGGAACAGTTGAGATCCTGTTTGTACTACACACTATTAAGAATGTCTTTGAGAAGAGAAACACATCAGTTGTGACCACATTAATGGTTGATTTGATTGCATAGTTAATTACACTGCGCTGTGTTTGTTCTCTCTCTGTGTCCAGGCCTCTGTGGGTACATGCAAGGCCTCTCTGTACATGCTTGGGCTTTGTCCTTCAGTGCTACATGTTTCAACCATGCCTGTGAAACACTGCTCAGTCCCTTCTTGAACATAAATTGTAACTATGATACAGACTCTTGACCACTGTGTAGGAGCCTTGGCCTGCGCACACACACACACACTCTGTTTTTAAACATTAGGTTATGAAAAGGTACAAATACAAACTTTTCACCAGGGAAAAACTTATTTAAGGTTCACAATTGGACCGTAAAACCACTGTTATGCCTTTGAAGGTACTTTTACATTGTTTGTATCTTGATGAACGATAAATGTACCTGCACAGAACCTTTATTTCTAACAGTGTACATTAAAAAATGAAGTTAAATTTGGGAGTGAAGCGACAAACTTGTTCCTCTTCTCTTGTAGTTTATTTTCCCCCCTCAGCATTAAAGACTGTCCCCTCCACACTGTAGATTAGCTCTTATTGGCTTTGTTCATATCAGTCTGTCTTTATGCAGCTGTGTCATCACACAACAACATGCAGTGGTCCATTATAACCTCGACTGTGGGATGGCGCTGCACTGACGCTACTAAAATTACCACTACAATCACAAATAACAGCTACTTTTAAAAAGTATATAATTTTCAGAGTAGGTTATTTAACCTAAACACGTATAACATATCTAATTTGTGTTTTTATGGGGTCCTTGGCTCAAGGGGTCCCTAGGCACCTGCCTATGTTCGCCAAGTGCGAAGCAGAGGGTCTCCAGGAGCAGAGCAGGGGATCTCCAGGAGCAAGGCTGGGAAACACTGATCTGGATCTTGCTGATTATGTTCTCTAATGGACCACCATCATCACACATGACACTGTTAATCAAAATGGAGGCCAAAATCTTTAATTATTTCACATTACAAGCAAACTGACTGTGTAGTGTGTGGATCATTCTACTGAACTGGTTCACTGTCAGAGTTGAACATTTCAGACTTTTAACTGTTTCCTTAATAATGTTTATCTTATTAAAACAAATGATTTGTGGCAGGGCGAAGCATTTGGAAGCATTTTATTATGAGGGGTGCAGTACTCCTTCAGGGGGTTTTATTATGGCAGGCAGAATATTCGCTCTTTCCATTGCCTCTCTGGTACATTGTTGTTGGTGCTGTGGACAACTTAAGGTAGGACAATATCTTAGTTGTGATTTTAGTTCAATGGATGGTCAGATCTCTTGCAGTCATTGGGCAGTGTAATATTACTGCTTTCCTCTTTACTGGGTAGGCCCTAATCTTATGCTACAGGAGGTAGGTGGTGTTTTGAATATATTTTAGTTTTAGTAGTGCCTTTTACGAATTTATCATCCCCATGAAGTTGCTTTAAACATAAGGGAATTTGTTAGTTTAGCCCGGGGGCGAATCTAGGATCAGAGGTTAATGAGACAAGGACCCCCATTTTTTCTGATCATATCTTTTCTCATTCTATATCATAAATTAGCTGATATGCATACAGACAGTACACGTCTAGCACCTTGGCTTTAATATCAACACATTGGCCTACCAATGACACAACAGTGAGCTTCTTTCACTGGAATTCAAACAGTTGACAGTCGTTGATTGACAACCTGCAACATTAGCTAGCTAGATAAAAAAAACATCAGATAGCTAATAATAACAACATAAAGAGTCATCTGAGATTCAGTGCAGCAAAAACAAGCACTGCTGCTAATGAGTGTAATGTGTTGGTGCTGAATGATAAGAAATCCTCGTCTGCGCTACTGACTGGAGCCACCACACCACACAGTCACACTGTAACTGGCTCTAGTGCCGCTACTGCATGTCTTCAGGGAAAGCAGGGCAGGGAAGAATAGGAGAGAGAAAGTAGGTCATAACATTTGCTTATCAGAGACACACTTCCATTTTAAAAATACAAAACGACTTTTTACTCTTATTTTTAGGGGTGATGGGACTCAATCTAAAACGACTCTTTAGAGCTGCTTTATACTAACTCATTTAAAGACACTACCTGAATGTGGAGCACTGAGGTTTTATTTCTTTAGGTGCTCCTGTGGGCCCATAATTGACTCCAGATTGGTTGGCTATTTTGTGGTGAAGGCCTTCACTGTTATGCTGTATACCACTGAAGAAGGGTTCTTGAGTTGCTGTGTCCAACTAAGTAAGGGTACCCCCATCATAAGGATAATTATTAAACATAAGTCTTTTCATTTTTTCATAACATATATTTTTGCAGGTTCTATAATAATTTTCCTTTTGTCTAAAGGCAGGATTTCAAGTCGTCCTGCTGTTTTGCCTGATTTTCTTGGTTTGTATCTTTGTTTGTTAGCCTTTTGTTCAACACAGGTTTTAAGGCCTTAAGTGTCGTGTCGCATCTTGAGGTTGTACATAAACTGTGTATAATTTTATTTTTACTTGTTGGATTTTTTCGTTTAATGTTTCTTTTGTTTCTTCTTCTTCGTTCAGATTGGGCCAGGTGGTCTATGGCTTTGCAGCAATTGGGTTGCAGCTTAGATGACTCATCACTGCACTGGGATTTAGATTTTTTTCCTTTCTTATTTGTTGCACTTTGTGTGACTAGATGAGTGTGTTTGTTAAAGTGACACTTAAGACGTGGTACAGCTTTTAATTCTTAATCCCCCGCAGGCAGCCACTTACACTTGAGCCCCTCCCTTAACTAATTCTTGTTAGTGTGGGCTTTTTCC